GTGTTAACTTACATTATTTATTGTCGCATATGATATTAAGTCTTCCCAATCCAACAGACGTTTCCTCTTCCAGGAAATAGCCCTAGGAATATCATTTGAGGTTTTTAATGCATATATCTGCATGCTGGGGAAAGCCTCGAATATCCAAATCTACAAACAATATAATAACAAACATTAGTAACTGTAATTAATTATAATTTTGAAAACATTATATAGAAATTCTTACCTTAAAGGCCCAAACAAAGCCTGACAAAGTGTATTTCGACCCATCGCCCCACAAACTTTTGCGGTCATCAAAGGCAGACGACAACTTAGTCCAGGTAGCTTTCCATATATACGAACCCCACGGAAGCAGATTCTATGCATTTAGGTCCTCTACCAATAATATTAGCTCCTGAGGAATAGGTTGTCTGGCCTCTCTGCCTAAAAAGCCGGCATACAAAAGTAGTAGAAGGCATACTCGGACAACATCAACGTCATTCATCCGAGTAAAACCATCTTTCTTATTAAACAATTTCTTCAGGTCGTCGACGTGTAAGTTCGGCTTCTCTATTGACTCATCAGGAAAAACCCTGGATAACCATGATGGGCGGGTGATATGACGAGTGTATCGGCCTACATCATCATGTCCGAATCGTAGACCAGTTATTAAGCATAACTCCTTCCGCCCAAAACAAGTATATGCCGGTGGAAAATGAAACCATATCTCTTCCTCACCACGTTGTATACTGTCGGGTAGATCGCTAGTCATGGTCTGAAGCCACAAATGGGTCAAATTAGCATCTCCACCCGGATGCTGTACTCTCAGCCATGGCCCGAAGCAGGTTTCCTCAAACAATTTTCTTTGTGCAGGTGAAAGCTTCGAAGGTTTTGTAGTGGCTAGGCTAACTTTATTCCTTAATGTCAATGAAGCCGAAAAAAATTTCTACAAAAACAATAAACATACCAAGTTAGATATACCAAAAACTACACTGTGAAGATATACCAAAAACAATAAACATAAATAGTAGTTTATTCTTGAAACTAAAATTTGCAACACTGTTTTGTCTTTTGGTTGAAATGAAAATCGCAACGAGATAATGAAAATCGCAACGCAGAAATGACTATTGCAACGAGAGAATCGCAACACGAAATGAAAATCGCAACGAGAAATGAAAATCGCAATGCGATTTTGGTTTCGCGTTGCGATAGTCATTTCCGCGTTGCGATTTTCATTCTCGAAACTATTCTTCTTCTGCATTACTTCAACCAAAAGACAAAACAAAGACAAATACTAACTTCACAGGGTTAAATACTAAACAGTTTAACAGTATTGACAGCAATCGAATGAATTTAATAAGAAATCTAAGTGAAATGGTTAATCTATTATTAAAATTACCAGTAAACTTATCATCAATTTCAATATGAAAAACCTAAAATAATGCAAAATTTTCAAAATAAAAATAATTAAAAAAACTAACCCTCGGAGGTTGATTTTCCATTTCTGAATGATTGTGAGGGATTTCTTACCGTGAATGGTTGTGAGGGATTTCGCCGGCGATGGGGACGGAAATCTTCGGAGATGGGGACGGATTTCGCCGTAGAGAGTGAGAGGTGGAGATGGGACTGAGTGTTGTGATTTTAGGTTTGAGGTTATGAGTTGCGATTACTGTGGACGGTTCAGTTTCCGATATATTAAGAAAAAATTCGTGTTTGGAATTTGAAAAAAAATACGCGTTAATACGAATGACGCTATGTAAATCGCATTGCGATAGTCAGATTCACATTGCGATTTACGTATTCACATTGCGAATTATGAAAATCGCAACGCAAATACGTAAATCACAATGCGAATTAGGAAAATTGCATTGCGATAATCAGTATCGCATTGCGATTTTCCAAATTCGCATTGTGATTTACTTATTCGCATTGTGAATTGTGAAAAATGCAACGCGAAATTGGAAAATCGCATTGCGATAGTCATAATCACGTTGCGAATCTGAAAACTGATTTACGATAATGGAGATCGCTTTGCGAATTAGCGATCGCATTGCGATTTTGTTGGTCATTTTGGCAAATCACGAAAAAATTAATTAAAATCATATATTATATGAGATTTTTGATTACTGAGATTATTTTCTCATTTTTTATTGGCTATCAATTATTCAGACAACAGGATAGGATTGTCCTCAAAATACAGATCAAACATTGCCTACCTAATTTGACCAACTCCAGCTTTGACTTCTCCTTTTGCTTTTTTCCATGTATTCCAATTTTTTTATTAGTTATAAGAGTTTCTATTAAATTAGATTAAATTTTATATTGAAACGAGGTTATAAGTTGTCTAAATATTATAATTTATGTAAAAATAATTTATATTATTTTAGGATATATTTAATATTTATTGAATTATTTTTTACTGAATATGAAATAACATTTCGTAAAAGGCGTTGAAATAATATTACAATTTTTTTTACTAAATATAGACCGACAATACTTCATGTAAAAGCATTAACATTAAATTGATAACAAACCATAAATAATCAGTGTTAGCAATCATCTACTTTTCCCCTAATATTATATTGCAGGTCGGTGGCTATTATGCATTCTATTTTTTATATAAAAACTCCATGGTATGATTATCTTAAATGGTAATATTTATGCAAAATATATATATAAATAATTAATATTCTTGTGTTAATTTGAAGAGGCCAATAATATGCAATATAATATGGGCCTTTAAGTCCGGATGGACTTGAACGAAATTGATATAGTAAAAAAATTGTGCAGTTTAAAACGGCAAAACTTTCGAGATAATGTTCTGAAAGAAATTAATTCATGAGCTAATGCACGTCCCAACACATAGGTCGCCATGTCCTCCAGGCGACCTTGTAGGTCGCCATGCACTCCGGGCGACTTACCCTCGCTCGGCTTCCCTCGGATTCCCTCGCATAGCTCGCTCGGTTGCCCTCGGATGCCCTCGCATAGCCCGTTCGAATGGCCTCGGTCGGATGGCCTCGGATGCTCTCGGATGGCCTCAGATGCCCAGCGTGTTGGGACGTGCATGGCACATGCAATCTCTTGTAGCTTGCCGGGAAGACATGGCGACCTAGTAGGTTGCCCGGAAGGCATGGCGACCTACGGCCAACACTGTGGATTTCACCTTATTTAAGCAATTAATCTTGGGAGTGCTTTATCTCGTGAATTAATTTTTCCCAGAAAATTATCTCGAAAGTTTTGCGGTTTAAAACATATACATCGGCCGTTGTTCTACCTTCCAAGCTGAACTATGGGCGGTGTTGGATGGATTCACTATCGCATGGAACCATGGCCACCGTAATGTTGTAATAGGGGTTGATAACAGCAAGGTGGTGCGATGTCTCAACTCTGCCGAGTGCCGAGCGGGTTAACGATGACGCCACCATTCGACGAATCAAAAGATGCCTGAACCAACAATGGAGAGTTAGCTTCAACCACATTGATCGATCAGCCAACACACTTGCTGATGCCCTTGCTCACGTTGGAAAAGATGGCCAGCTGGGTCTTTGGATTTTTCAGGAACCTCCAGCTGTTGTTGAGAGGTTGCTCGACCTGGATCGTGCATACTTTAATATTGGCTAATCCACTAGCTCCCTAGTGGTTTCCTTGTTACCAAAAAAAAAATAAAAAATTATGTTCCAATTCATTTTCTACTTTGCTAGACCTAACAAGCAGTTTCCTGGGAGAACCAAATATTATAATGACGAGGGTAAACTATATATATGACTATTTAATTATTACCTATTTTTATTTTAACCATCAATTTTTAAATTTTTTGAATCAGACAATTTAATTATTAGGTGTCACTCGTCAAACCATTTGCTTTTAACATTTCACAGAGATGATAACGTGACTGTTTAAAAATAGCTATAATGATATATTCGATCCTTAATGTTTATATATTCTGTCACTTTAGTCCTAATTTTAAATTGATATAATATATAAATATTGATGACCAAATATATAATTATACTAACTTCTTTAACAGTCATGTCACCTCTACCGTTAAATGCTAAAGGCAAGCGGCTTTATTAGCAACACTTAATAGTTGAGTGGTTTGATTGACATAATTAGAAGATCGATGGTCAGAATGAAAAAAGGAAATAATTAAGTGATCATAAGTATAATCCACCCTAATTTGAAATTCGACATTAAAAATTTATTAAGTGACCTCAGTGATAAAAATGAATGTTGTTATCTATAAAATATCTATGTTGTAACAATTACGTTTGTGGAGTAAGTGTTGTTAGTAAACTAAGAAAATTCTAAATAAATATTACGTTGAAATATTCAGGACAAATAAAAAATTTGAAGATGAATTTAGGATTACGAGTATAAACTATAAACCCTTATTTGAGAATGTTTTAAAAGTTTGGACTCTTATTTGACTATTTTGAAATATTAAACCCTTATGTGAACAATCTCTAATAGATTATACCCTATTTGAACAGTTAACCTAAACAATTAGGGATGAGCATGAGACTCGACCCGATAGGTCAGTTTTTTTTAAAAAAAATTAGGTTCGGGTCGGGTTTTTAAAGGTGATGTTCGGGTTGGGTCAGATTTGGGTTTAGGTTGAAAAATACACGACCCGAACCGACCCGGGAAATATAATTTTACCGTATATATTTAGGAATAATTACAATAATACCCCTCTATATATTATTTTTTTCAATTAAATCACTATTTTTCTTGAATAAAAATAATATTTTTTTATTATTTCAGGTTGGGTCAGGTCGAGTTCGAATTTTATTTCAAAAAATCGAATCTAGTGGATTGTATATATTATACTGGTCAGGTCGGATTTCGGATGGAGGAGACACGGATGGGTTTAAATTAGTGGAAGTACTTGTATAGTAATAATAAAAATACATTTTGATCCCTGTAATATTAAATAGAGCAGAGAAGTACATTCTGTAACGGTTAGAAGTCTACATAACAAAATGAAGAGTTTGGCTATGGATTAACAAGTAGAAGAGGTTAAACGGAACAACTCAGGTAGCTTAAACTAATCTCTCTAATCTACACTACTTTTCTCTGTTCCAAATAAATAATAATAATAATAATCTGTAGCTTTTTCTCTTTCTTTTCGACTCCTAAAGGCGAAAATCTCTCACCTAAAAGCCATAATCAACCAAATTAGACCAACGAACCACCAGGTAAATTTGTTTTCTTTAATATATTTTTTTAGTTGCTATGTCGATAGTGGATTTTTGTTTCACTCCTGTAAATTTCGTACTTTTTTGTGTTTCCTCAACGGTTTGTCTTGATGTTTCATTTCAGGAAATCAGGTTCCCATTTATTTGCAGATCTGTTTTTGCTTCTATTGGTATTGGTTTTGTATATATGGGGTAAGTTTTTTTGGGGTCTTATGGTTTTGCTAATTTATGGGTTTTTATTGACAAGATTGATATTATTTTTGGTTGGATATGTTTGTATTTGGATTCCTCTTTGTTTGCGGTTTAATAGAGGGGAAAGGGGCAAAAAAAAATACACTATGTATGTGATTATCTGTTTTCATCATGCACCCTTTTATTCTTTAGTGATTGACATGTTCAGCATGGTTCTTTAATGATATGACTGTGTAAGATTTATCATGTTGATTGTTACTTTCTTTTGCATCTGGTGTCTTTGCACTTACTATGGCTGTGTTTGATAAAGAAAAAGAAAAGATCTATAAAAGGAAAGTTTTCTCCCCTTCCAAACAATCGTATGATTATAAGTTACTGGTTTAGGCATATAGGATACTTTTATCGCTTGCTATTAATGTTAGATTAGAAAATGGATAATTTTCGGATGTTGTTTAGTGGTTTGGTGTAGCAGATAACATTTCTTTTATTAAGTGGCGACCAATGATTTTTTGTTGAGATTGATATATCTACATTAGGACTTCGAATACCCAATGATTGCTTCAGTTTCAAATTCGAATACCCCATGCAAGGTCAATGTATGGTTTCAATCATATATTTCATTGTTTGAGTTTTTCAAATGAAATTGCCTGCACATGTCGTTGAAGGGAATTTTACTTCTTTTGGGGGGGCCCTTCTTGTAAGTTGTAAGATTTTATACCAGTTAGCTTAGTTCTAACAGGTTGAAACTTTGGAGGATTTGATTCCTAATCCCCTTGTCTTGCTAATAGATGAACCTATTAGGTGTATCAGTACTGTATCTTGATGTATGCTTTTTGTTGCAAATATGGTTCTGCTGCTGTTTGTTATACTTGATAAATAAAATGTCAAGAATGCTTTATGTGGCCTTGGTATCTATGAAATTATAATTTGATATCTTCCTGATAAACTTATTATCGGGTTAGTAGCCTCAGCTAGAGTTTTTGGCAGCTGGTATGATTGTGTGATTTGTAATAGAGCAGTGGTTGTCTAGGATGCTATGAAAGGCCGACTTTGAATCCCTTGGTGAATGAGTCAACAAAACGACTAAAAATTCAAGGTCAGACAGGCAAGAAAGCCAGCATATCAGAAAATTTCTGGACCACTAGCACTTGCGATATGGATAACAGTGCAGTGCAATCACAGGGAAGCATCTCATCGATCAGCACAAGCAACCAGACACTTGATCTGCATGGCAGTGTTGCAGCTGCTAATGCCCCCCGTGAATTTGTGAATCATGGCAAGTTCTTAGTTCTTTTGTTACTTTGTTTGGATTAACATTTGTATGTGACAGTTCTATGAACTTCCTTATCTTCCTGCCTGGATAGTCATTTTTGGATCTATTTCAGTGCTAAAATAAGATAAGGCTGTCTATGAACCATCTAATTGAGATGCACTTAGTTGCAGGCCTTCTTCTCTGGAATCAAATTCGGCAGCGCTGGGTGGGAAACAGGAAGTCTGAAAATCGGAAGCGAGAGGTTCGAGAACCTAAACTAAAGTGAGTTATTGTCAGAAAATATTGATTTAGTGTTTTTATTATGTCTTGGTTTCAAGTATCGTTCTTCCTAAGAACTCTCCTCCACTTGCAAACTGATGTGTGCTCGGATTTGTTTATTTTCTTCTCTGTATTGTTTAAAGTTTAGAAGGCATCTACAACCGTATTTTTTCTGGAATTACTATATCCGAAACAATTTCCTCTTAACTAAATTATGCTGTGACATTCATTTTATCATGATTGTTCATTTCTTTCATCGAGGCTATACAGAGGCTCAAGGCAAAGAAGAAGAGATAGCTATTTCTACAAAATTAAATTTTCAACTTCTAAGCTTCTGGACAAGGGAGCAGATTTAATTGTTCCACGTTTTACCAGCCTTTGACCTTGAAAGGATATGTTGTGCTACCAAATCATATACAATTGTTTAAGTACTAAAATAATGACAACCTTACCCATGTGGGTGCCCTTAGCTGCATGACATCAACCACTGTGCTTTATTTAGAACCATTTCTTCTTTAAGCTCAGTAAAGTGAGGCCCCCTTCTATAGTTACCACATACAAGACTTGTTTGTTCGTTCGTTCGTTCTTTCAACCACTCCATTATGTCACATCTCCGTTCTCTGCATTTGTTGATATCTACTTTCCTTGCATTCATTGCTGTGCTTTGTGTGATATTTGGATATTATAATGAAGAATAAAAAGGTTAATGTTTGTATTTTCAAGCATTCTGATTTTAGCAAAATCCAGATGCTTGTCATTATGGAATCTGTATTTTAGGTACTAAACTTTGAAATGGCATATTGTCGACTCAGGGAAAACAACTTCCTCTATACAAGTATATGACCCTTTAATCATTTATGAACTTTTTCGTTATCTTGTCAGCACTCATTGTCTGTGCATGTTAAACAATTCTGGCTTTGCAGTTGGAATGCAACTTACGAAAGTTTACTTGGAAGCAACAAGCCATTCCCTCAGCCTATTCCTCTCCCTGTAAGTCCCAGCACCAGGAAGCTCATGGAACACTGGATTGTTTGTTTATCTGATTCTGTGTTTCTCTTGAAAAAATGACAGGAAATGATAGATTTCCTCGTGGATGTGTGGGAGCAGGAAGGGCTGTATGACTGAGAAACAACAGTACAAGTGCATTTGAAAGGTGGTTAGATATCAATATCCATCTGATTTGTTGTAACATTTGTAATTGTTTTAATAGGTAAAAATGCATTAGAGCATAGCCTGGCGTGCATATCGACTGTAAAAATTTCAGGGTCTTGCCTGCTTCTGTTTTTATTTTCCTTCTCAATTCAACTGGCCTTTTGGACCTTGCTATTTTATTTGCTCTGGAATGAAAATCCGGAATAGAAAAATACTTGCACCCTCTGGTTTTCAAGGCAGCAAAATCTTCTCTAGTGTTTTGCACATTTTCGTGCATAGGTTGTAACACCCCGAATTTAAGTCGAAGGATTAAATTGCTAACTATTAAAGTTTGGAATTAAATTTGAAAGGAAAATATGAGATTTATGGACTAAGTTGATTAAGGGGAAGAACTTTGAGCCAAAAAGATGCTTTAAAGAAACTAGTGGCTTTAAGCGTAATTTACACATTATTTTCTTGACTTGATAAAATGAATTGTGAGGCTGCAAAGGTTTGAAATCATTACCTGTGGTGTGCCATGACTTAGCCATTAGCTTAGGCTACTGTTCTAAATTTTATTAATAAGAAGGTTAGTTTAACATATTTAAATATGGTTTTAAACCCCCAAAGCTAGACACACCCATAGTAGAAACCCCCAAATATTTGAATCATACCCACCGTCGCCCCTCCTGTCGTTTACTCTCCGGTCATCGGTGTATGCGTCGTCGACTCACGACTAAAATCTGACCTGCTACATTATGAGAAGCCTCGTCGTCAGTCCTAAAAAGCCTTGTAAAGATAGTCGGAGTTTAAGCTATCCCAGCCTCGTCGTCAGTCCTAAAAAGCCTTGTAAAGATAGTCGGAGTTTAAGCTATCCCCTTCGGTTTTTCAACGTTTTTTTATCGATCCCGACGTCAGTTCACCACACCGCCACGTTCCATGTGCTCCTCGACGCTTTGCAAATAAACCCCAACCGATTTGTCCCCTCGTTGTTGCTCTGCCATCGTCACTCACTTGTTATCGTTGAAAAAGGTTTGATCATTTTAAAATCCCGCTCTCCGTCGTGCTTCGTCGTAAAATAATACATGCACGAGACTCCCGAGGTGTCGATCTACAAGACTGGAAAATTTCAAGCCGAACAGATGACTGAAGCCGTCGTACGCGCTGCACGTGCCGCTCTATGCGCGTGAGAGTCATCTGCCAGCCAGATAGTTTGTTGACAGACTAGACCGGTTTGAACTGGCCTGCTTGAACCAAACTAAGCCAAGCCGATCGTCTGAGCTGTTAACCATTGACCGTTGACTGTCGTTCATTTTTTCAGGAACACACATCTTGATTTTTAGACGTTTTGAGTCCGTTTTTAGGTTTGTTTCGTCAAATTTGAACCCAGTAAGTTGTTTTTTAGTGTTTTTCCTTTTGATTCGATTCGTTTTTTGCAATTAAGTTCTGTTTCTGATGTAATTCGTTTTGTTTATATCTGAGATATTTTTGGACATTGGATTCAAGATCGAGAGCGATCGAATGGAGTTTAAGTGATAGATTAAATGGCTCGGAAATTGAGGTGATACATTACTACCTTATGCATGCTTTATGGAACATGTAAATATTGGTTAATGCATGGATGAATATGTTTGGTTACATGTGTGTAGTTAATATTTCTAAACTCGATCTGAATGCGATATAAAATAATTAAACTGAATAAGACTTAGATTACACGTATAAGACACTAGAATATTGATAAGAAATAATTTCAAGTTCAATGATTAACCGATAAAGCAATCAACCTCAAAATCTTTAAATTCTAGTTATTCTCGTTAAAAGTTTTAATGCTGAAAATACCTATAAAAGAAATTACGAAATTACTCCTAGGAGGTAAAAATGGCCAACATTAACTCTGATAGCGAGAGTACCCAAAAAATTCGTAATTAATATGATAAACTACTGTTTCACCTAATAAATTCCTAATTTGTTAAGAAAATTGTTGATAATCAATTCATAACATTTGAGAAAACATTAGACCTAGAATTTATGATTTATGAGCAAACACCCCAAGATTAACTTATCATAAGTACTTTTATTGTCAAAATTGTTCGAAATGACTGAAATAAATAAAAAGTACCAAAATACTGAAATACCCTTAAACTTCAAAATGACTAAAATACCCTCGAGTCTTAAAATGACTAAATTAACTTCAAGTACCGAAATGACCTAAATACCTTCATGGTCTAGAATAAGTGAATGCCCAGGATAAATTTTGGATATACTGATAAAAATAATAAACAAAGGTTATATCGCCCCTAAGGGTTGAAACACGTCCCAAGCATATCAGTCATGCTTGCTACTGTTACAATATGAGAATAAAATAAATAAAACCTGAATATCAGTTCGTCTCCTCAAGATTCGTCCAGTGATGGTTTTGAAGGTGATCAGTTCGACTCTATAGTGCTGTTAATAATAAGAAATGAATATTCGTGAAGTTACTCTACCTGTATATTTGGTAAGTATTGCATGTGTTGGGTCGGTACAGTTCGATTGGACTTGAAAGCCTGATAAGATACTTGAAATTTGAAATACTGTAAATCACTACTTACCTTTATTAAATTGAATTACCAAAATTTTTTGGGAATCAAATGATTAAAATGCCTTTGTGAGTCTAATTGATGGAATCACCCTAAGAATTTCTAAATCTTAAGTAATTCTGATGTAACAGTTCCTAAATATCATTTGGATAGATCCGAATATTATATGATCCTGATGTATCACTTTCCTAATGACTCATTAATCTGTTAGCTATCGAACTCTTTTAAAAGGGATCTCGTTTCTAAAGTTCGATCAATTTGCAAAAGTTTCATGTTTTTCCCGCCTAATAATTACCAAGTACCTCCGAAATATAACTTGATCTTCTAGTGTGTTCCATGTGTGCTATATGATTGTTTTATCTATTCTGAAATGTGATTTGTTGTCTGGTTGGTTTACGAATATTTTAATTATTTGATATTCTGATTTACTTATTTATTGATTTACCGTTTATGAACAATGACTACTTGATATATGCTCTCTAGGTACCTATTTCACTGGAAAATATAATTATGTTTGATTTATGTATCATAAAATTTACTGTTTACTATATGAATTATTTTATTGGGATACTGTCTGGGTAGGATTTTGGAGTATAGAGATTCAACTCTGATCAAGCTGATAAATCCTTATATACCTAAGGTAACGCTTGGGTAGGCTCTGAGGCCTCAAGAAACTCACTAGGGTAGGCTTTCACGACTCAAGATGCTTATTTATGTTGGCTTCTAAGCCCTTTGGGCCTAGAGTAAGTCCTTATGGATGTAATTCTAGGGAACTGCATATCGATGTTTTGTTTGAGGGTATTATAGATGTTTTAAAATATGTTTTTAAACTACCATTATCTTTTAATATGTACATTTTTTTCTTTTGTTTTGTTGGAACACACTAGACTCCTCAACTCAATCTTTTGAATTTGTCTCTCTAAACGTTTCATTCAGACTGTAAGTATTCTGACTGTTACATGAAAAACTAATCAATGAAATCTGAACTCACCGATAAAGCCCGATGATGCTCGTATCATTTAGGAAATTTATGCTTTACCAAGTATCTAATGACCTATTTCATACTTCTCGTAATTCTGTATTAGAGTTTCCCAAAGTTCACTCAGTTATTTACCATTTCAGGTTAAGTAGTTTGATCTTGTGCTTTTATCGACATCAGTAAAGGAGTTCCACCATAGTTGCTTATGGAGTACGGTGCATGTAATTAGGGGCATGTAGGTTGTATTCTGTTTTTATATTCGAGTCTGGAATTTGTTTTAAATAATGGATATGATTGAATTCTGTTTTTAATATATGGATGATTTTCTGAACTTAAATTTTTATTTATAAATTGTTTTACGATCTTAAATGGTTTACCAAAAGTTTCAATTTCCTCGAATTTTCAGTGGGGTTGTTCCGGTGGCTCTAATGTGACACCTCGTATCGAATCGGGTCACCCATCTCGGTTTGAGGGTGTTACATAGGTTGAGGTTACCTTCTACATGTGGTTTGCTTTCGTTCATTTGAATATGTAATGACAGAATTATTGCAATGAGTAAATAAACTGAAATCATTTTCTTTTCATAAAGGAAAAGCAGAGAGTAAATGGTCTGCTTCGAGGAAGCAGTTGCATTTTCCTTGCCTGAAACAAGGAAAAATCTGAAATGCAAAACGAAAATCAGAAACTGAAAAGGGAGACCTAAGCTACCTAACAAATTCGTTTATCTTGCTGCTAACTAAGCCTGCAAAGCTTCAAAATTCACTGTCCACAGAAACGCACTGCATGAATGGTTTTAATAACACATGCAGTTGGCGTTTCCCCAAATATATTTATAGATATATATATACACATTGTAAATGCAGAGCATACTTTTTCTGCAATAATCAGGAAGCTGATCTTGGAATGGAAAAGGAGTCATCTTTCCTAAGAGATCAGATTCTCCTACAACTACAGTACTTCAGATTTTATATGTGGTTGTGGTATGGAGTTAAATTGCAGCATTCTTCACTTACTATTGTTTTTTTATGACTGCCTTTAAATCTCTATTTGTTAAGAGACCAGAGGGAGAAAGGTGAGCCTTTTTAATTTTCTCCTGACAAAAAAGGGGGTTTGAGAGAAGGCAAGGATGATGCTGGTTTTCTAGTAAAAACAGGAGATTTCTGAAGCTCAGAGTACTGTTAACAAACAAATGAAGGCAAGTTCCCAGATTAAAGCAGCTTCCTCAATCCTGTCCGGTTGCTGTCACAATTGAAAACAAAAGAAAAAGTGTTTTGGCTGTATGAAACGTGCTGTTGTCTGTGCATGATTGTACAGTTCCATGCGTTTTAATATCTAATTATGCATTTTTATTTTCAATTGAAAGAAAAAGCTTAGCTGGGGTAATATCAGTAACATTAATCTTTATATATATGTGTGTGTGTGTGTTTCTTTTTCCCCACACAAGTAATGGAGAGGGTCACCAAAAACAATGATCCAAGTCGTTGAAGCGTTTAAAGTCAAGGGCACCAGTTTCCCAGAAGGACCAAGAACAAACAATTTCTTGCTTTTTTCAATGACGAAGAGCTTTTAATTGGTGAACAAGCCATCTGCCCCAGTGCCATGTCCCCTTTTCCACAGGCAGAAAACTTTGAACTTATTTCAAACATATATATATATATATATATATATATATATATATCCCTCCATCATTTTCAAAACTTGTACCTTTCCTCACAAAACAACACAGCCTCACATTAAGCAAACAGTGATGGCTGCTTCATCAAGAATCTGCCCCAATGGCCTCAAACTTGCCATCACTGTGGCTTTCATTTTGTCCATTGCAATATTTCTGATTCCATCAGGTAATAAAAATTCCAAAAACTATCTGGATTATGTTTCAGCTTTTTTTTAATTCCTATTTTACTGTGTAGCCTAGGTTTTGCAGATGGGGCAGTAAACTCAGGCGGGTTGCGGCAAAGTAAAATGGTGTTGGGGTCAAAGCCTCCCGGTTGTGTGAACAAGTGCTTGAGTTGCAGGCCTTGCATGGCTACTCCAGTCATTCCTTCGCACAAATGGAAGAACAGCTTCAAAAAGGCGACGTATCGTGGTGATGAAGAAGATAACTATTATCTCCTGGCGTGGAATGCAAATGTGGGGATAAGTTCTTTCAACCTTGATCGCATGGCCACGACACACAGCTCTTTCAAGTTTGTAACACCCCAAACCGATGCGGGTAGCCCGATCCGATTCGGGAAGTCACATTAGGGCCACCGGAGCGACCCACCGTAAAAATAGCAGAAATTTTAAAACTTTTTATCAGAACATGTAAACTTATAAAATCATTTATCACTATTTAAAAATAAAACAGATTTCCAAACTCGTATATAAATCAAAATACAATTACATGCCCCCTAATCACAAGTACCATACTCTGCAACCACGCCGGAAGAACTCCCTTACTGAAATCGATAGATGCACTGGTACAATTGTTTTAACCTGAAAAGGTGAGTAATAGAGTGAGCTTTGGAAAGCTCAGTAATACAAACTACCAGATGATGCTACATGACATGTAGATAAATGGAAAGCCATATAATTTCCTTATTGAATCATACGTATACCAGCTTGCAGAATAATTTGGAGTTCCCTTAGAAGTTCATCGAGTAGAAGCCATGAATCTCAGTTCATAAGAAACCTTTCAAAGTATGACATTTTCAGGAGATCGAATAGGATGTCTAGTGTGTTCCAACAGTATAATAAAATCATAATAGGTACAAATCATAGTCCAGTAAATCTCACAATTTCGTAAAAGAGTTTAACTTTTGAAAATCATAGTTTAAACCCTTTTCTGGTAAACCATCAGTAGTTCCCAAAAATTATTTTCCATATAGCTTACTTTATGCACATAGCAAAAAGAAAGCCAACTTAAGGATAGGCTATGAAGCTTGTATCCTTAAGCCCAAGTCAATAAGTCCATATAGCTTACCCTAAGCACACAGCAAAGGAAAGCCGACCTAATGAAACATCTTGGGGCCCTCAAGAGTCACATTAGGCCCATTTAGCTTGATCAGAGCTATTCCATCGTAATTCAATTCCAAAATTCAATTGCACCGTGACATAAATTCCATAAATCCAAAAACATGGTAATCATATACCATTTCAAAACAAAAATTAGATAGCAGCAATATTCCATAAATTGTCACATTAAATTGGTGCATCCATAAAACAATAACCAATGAATTCGGTGTACCACATATTAAAACCAATAAAACAGTTCAGTAATAAGTAGGGAACACACTAGAGAATCCAAGTATTTCCAGAGGCCATTGTAGTTATCATTTTGGATAACATGAAACTTATGAAATTTGAACGAATTCCTGGAACAAGGTCCTATTGAGGAGAATCGATTACTAACCGATCTAGTCAGACATTTAATGTTGATACATTAGAATCCCACTATATTTTCGTGTGCTTTAGGAAAACGTTCAGGAACCTTTGTACATAATAATTCTAAATTCAGATTTACTGCGAGTGATTCCATTACCCAAACAATTAGGGGTATTCAGGAATATACTTTAAATTCATAGGATTTCAGCCCAATTGAACCAAATGAGATATTCAGAATCTTTTCCATCTGCGTTACTTGTTTTTTTTTTCAAACATGACCGAAGTGATTTTAGATGAAATATAGAATCGAAGATTCAAGTCATTTACAATCTACGACTATCGATCATATTATCAAACAACTCGAGTTACACAACTCTCAAACTGATGCATGTCAACAAGTCAATTCATTATCCTTCCAGTGTATTCACTCTTTAATACCATAGTGTAGATCCATAGAGCATCCCCATAATCATCACTGAATAAATCTTCCAACGGTCTTTATTTCATTTCCACGTTTCAACAATATCAGGAAATACTGACGTACTTGATCCATGGCTCATAACCCATAATGACAATTCATCATGTAAGTTCAACAGTGTTTCCAAACTCATTAAATCACCTATTTAATCCTTAGTCATTGATGTTACTTAGTTCGTTTGGTAAGCAAGTCTATCCCGATTACTTTAAAGTTTTCCAGAATAATTCAGACGTTTCTGAATTTCAAATACACGTTGTACTTCATTTCATTTCAATTTATTCATATAATAAAGTCATTCTGGTATTCGTGGTTGATTTGACTAACGACTACCCACTTATTAGTACTTTATGCGCTCTAGAGTTGAGCTGCGCCAAGTACTTCCAGAATTATCATCGATCCAAATTTGAGAAGATGAACAAACATTCAAGTGATACTTATATCATTCAGGTAATGATATAGTACTAACGTTGGTTAATCACTTAAGTTGCGTTCCACAACTTTTACTGGTAGCACAACATCCATGTTTATTTGGATTTCTTAATTAATCCAAGACATTTACTTATTCTAGGTCATAAGGGCATTTTGGTCATTTTGGTGCTTAACATTTTTTTCTATTCATTTCAAAGCTTGAGTATATCCATTCATTCCTGAGCTTGGTGACATTCCTGAATCATTTCCATTCCAGGGGTAATTTGGTCATTTTATAATTCTAGAATCTTTCAATCATTTCCTTCCATCCGGTCTTATTATTTAATTCAATCTTATCATTTACTTCAGTCCTTTCGAACAATTCTGTCAGCATAATACCTCCGATAAATTACTCTTCAAGTATTTACTCCTTATTCGAATATTTTCGGGTCAAGTGTCTTCTCAGATTTTACAAACGGAATATTATAAATTTTTCTGTACAAAGACAGGATCTTAACAATTAAATTCGTACTTAATCGAGTTAAGTACAAATCCTCAAAGTACTCTCTCATTCAGGGTTAATTCAGACTATTTTATCTCTCAAGGGCATTTTCGTAATTTCTTAACCAGATAATTTCAATATTAGATCTTAACGAAAATAATTATAATTTAGAGATCCTATGATCAATTGCTTTCCCGAATATTCTTTGATTTTGAAATGATTCCTTCACAAACTCTCATAGGATTAAAACCGGTTATCCATAATTTCCAAATAAAACTAACATTTCTTATGCACATCAGTAGTTATATCGGATCAATATGTCTTTTCATGTTATTAACCAACTTCCAGTGGCAATTCTTATCATTTTCCAATATAAGGGTAATTTCGTAATTTTACCATATCGGAGTATTCTCATAATTTTTCATCCAAGTATCTTTAACATTAACCCTTGATGATATAAAATATAAGTTACAAATCCAGAGCTGATTTCTTTATCACCAATCACAAACTTGTAATTTAATTCTAACAATTATCAATCTCTTATCTTAGTCATTCGATCCGTATTCAGTTACAGAATTTCTACCATATTCATATCGAGTGAATAAATTATTCAACTCCACAAAAGTGACCAACATTATATTATTCATGCATTTACCAATATCAACATGTTCCATAAAGCAAAAAGAGGCAGTAAAATATTACCTCGATTTCTGTGCAATACCGATCGACCATAAAAATTCCATTCGAATGCCTTTGATCTTCAATTCAACTTCAAATAATTCCTCAGATACATATCAACATAAATTATATCAGAAACGGAGCTTAATTGCGATAAACGGATCAAATCGGGTGATAAATCAGTGAAAGACGGCTTACCGGGTTTGAATTTGGCGAAACGGACTTCGGATTCAGGACGTCGAAAGCATAAAATGTGACTTTTCGGAAATTTGGAATTTTCGGTCAAAATCAAAGTCAACGGGTTTGACTGACAATTTCGAGGCCTTTGGGTTCGAATTTCGAAAAGCGGACAGCGGAATCGGATTTGAAACGTCGAAAAATGTCAGGATAGGTATACTCGGTCGAAGTCAAAGGTCGTTTAATGCCCGGTCAAAACCAGTCAAAGTTTTTGTCAACAGTGGTCAACGACGGTCAACGGGTCAACGGGTCGGGTAAACGGGTCGGGTCGGGTTGTGACCGGTCAAACCGGTCAACTATGCACCAAAACCGGTCAAATCATTCATTTTTTTCTTCCCCACGCGCAGTGGCTGCGCGTGAACAGTGCTAAAATCCCGGAAAAATTTCTAAAAATTATTTTGAGCGATTTCGAGATACTTACAAAGCTCGGTTCACAATTTTGAATGGCGGAGAGCTCGATTTCAACAAATCGGAAACTTTGACCGCTTCACCTCCTCACGCGCCGCCGTCGACGGAGACCAAGGATGACACCGACAAACTCGGAACGATGCAACGAACACGATGGTGCGGGAGGTGTTGTAAATAGATGACCCGATCGTCGTGAATCGATGAAAAACCAACTAAAACCGAGTTATTACCGACGATACTTCCGACTGAAATTCACGACGAACGGCGATGATTCACGATGAAAGGTTTGAGGGGTTTTGTTCATCGATTGACAATGAACACGATAGTGGTTTTGGCTCGTCGTTTGGAGATCGGACGGCGAGTAGATCGGAGTTGGAAGTTGGGTTGTTGGAGAAGAGAAATCTGGAAAATATGAAACATGCGCACGGGGAGGAGCTTATAATTCATCATATATAAGAAATGGTTAAATCATGGGTTTAGCCACTGAATTTCTTGCACTTTATAAAACGGTCTGCCAACTTTAAAACTTTACAATTTAATTCCCAATGTTTCTTTCAAAATATCAATTAAATCCGTCACTTTATAATTTCTTAATTTTAGCCCCTAAATTGGGGTGTTACATTTTTAATAGTATAGGTTAATTACAAGACAATATGATCATAATCTTTCTTAGCCATTAAATTTGGATTTAAATTATGGATTTATATACAACGCATATATCTGTTAAATTTGTTGTTTGTGAACTACAAGTGCTCTCTATGGAAAAATATATAATAATATTATATATTAAATTTATTATATTTTAAAGGATAATAATTATTATATTAAATTTATTATATTTTAAAGGATGACTATACGAGATATCATGAAACATTAGGCGGTGTATCGTTTATATAATAGAACATTCAATTGTTTTAATTATGACACTAAAGTTTGATTTCGATTGCGATTATATTACTGAGTCATTAAATTTTAACGACGAATGACATGAACAAATATTTCTTCATTGTGATGATATAGATAAAACAACATCGTTTTGACACAAATATTGATGTTGAAAATGACGTCGTTCCAAGCATTAAGTGTTAGGCAATCAATTGACACATGTCACCGTCTTGATTCGTGAAAAGATTAATATCAAAATATTTACATTTAACTCCTCCATCTTCTCATCAGATTGGTTTTTCACAAATCCACTCAAAATTATCCTTCAATGATCGTCAGATAAAATTAATTTTGAGTTATATCGTTCGTTTTTTTAAAATAATATTTTCACCGTTTGAATTATCAAACAACACTCAAAACCCCTCCAATATGAGAAAGATTCCAAAACCCCCTAGAAATCTTCTACTAGGGTTAAAACATAAACATTTTGGGGGCGTTTGATTCACATAATGTAAGATTACCTTTAGGAATAACATTACTGGAATGTAACATTGAATTACCTTGTTTGGTTTGTTTAGCATGAATGTAATATTACAGTGTTTGGTTGGAGGAATATAAGATTACTTGGATGCATATTTTACCAAATTATTCTCGTGATATATTTTTTTAAAGTTAAACTTTAATATTAATTTATAAATATTTGAATGAAAATTCATAAAAATATTTTAATCGTTATTCAATCTAACTTTTGAGGAGAAATTAAATTTAATATACAATTAATATAATTAGTATATTGAATTTATATTTTTAAATAATGTTCATAAGTATCATATTTATTTATATAAAATATACTATAATATAAAAAATAATATTATGGTAGTAAAATATTATTTTAAATAATTACATTTTTATAATAATACGATTTTTTCATCCCATAAAATTATAAATATTAAAATATTGAATATTAAAAATATAAAATATTTTAAATTCTCAAAATTATTAATATTTCAGTAAATCAAAATCTTTGTATATTATTATTATTTTTATAATTTTGAGTAAAGTATAAAAAATAAGAATTTATAAGGATCATTATAAAAAAATTATTAGTCCAAGGGTATTCTTGTCTAAAGTGGTGGGAATGTAAGATTATCTAAGAATTTGGAGGTAATGGCATTCCAACCATTTTAACCAAAAATGCTACTATTGGGAAAAGAGTATTCCGAGTAATGTAAGATTCCGTGAACCAAACGTGAGAAAATAATTTCGGAAAAAAATTCTCCTTCATAATGTAAGATTCTGCGAACCAAACGCACCCTTAAAGATTATTTTTGACAAATAGGTGAAAAAATCAATTCATTTGCCAAAAGTTGCTAGGGCCAATTTTAGATGTGAAAAATGAAAAGGCCCAAAAAAGAAATAATCGAAGTCCACTGCTATATAAATGATATTTTCCCCAGTTTATGTATGATTTGGTGAAATAGAAACCAGAAATGGAAATGCTTACCATTTGCTCTGCTTCACGCCACCCTAATTTCTCCAGTCTTTTCATTTCCAGAAGTTTGATTTCAGATTCCCTTCAAGCTTCAATATTTCCCCCGAAGTTTCATCCCCTCCGCCGCCCCATGCCCTTCCGCCTCCGTTCCAATCCCACCACGCGCCCGCCACGTAGTATATCAGCCGTATCCCGTCCGCCTTCTCCGCCTGACTCAGACCCCCCAGGTTTCCCCCATTTTCTCTTTGTTTTTGAACTTTTAGTAATTATATTCATGCCTTTGTAGTTTGTACTGGGATTGATATGGCTTTTGTTAATAAGCCTGGAAATTTTACGACTTTGGATATTTTCCGCTCATATTTGTCTTTTCCTGTTGTAAGTTAATGCAATAGAAGAGGATTAAAAGACCCTTATTTTCCCCTCGGTATAACTGAACTTTTAGGTGTTCTATCGTTCATATCACTGAACTTTCAATTGCTTTAATTAAAGAATTAAACTTTTATTATACTACTGAAAGTTCAAATTCTCCTACAAGTACAGTACTTAATTTCAGGTGTTGTATCGTTCATATCACTGAAAGTTCATAGCTTCAAGTAAAGCAATTGAATTTACAATTGAAAGTTCAGTGATACAGCTATAAATTCAGTAGTGTCCGGTGTAATTCATCTTTTTTTTTTCTTCTTTTTGCATTTGAATTCAAGATTACGTTGGAACTGCTTTGAAGGCAGCAAGTTGTGGTGTTCTTATGGTTCATTTTTGTGGAACAGGTTAGTGGGAAAGATGACCATATATCAGGATCGTGTGCGGATCTTCTTTGCTGTTCTTTTCTGGATGTCTCTGTTCTTCTGGTACTCTGCATGGGACGGGACGAATTCTGGTAACCTGATAAAGGATCTCGATTTAGAAGTAAACTAGTAAGAAATTTGATTCTGTATATAAATTTGAGAGATAGATTACTACTGTGGAAAATTCAAATATAGACAAAGAACGTATACTTTGTTATTTCCTCTTCGTTTTTGTTATTCCAGGGAAACATTTTCCTGTAATATCTCAGTGAATCAATGAATCAATTTCAAGGTTTTTTCTTTTCGCTTCTAAGAGGAAGATGAAAGTGAGATGCCCCCACTGTATAATTATAATAGTTAAAGGAGAAAGTAAATTATAATGTCAGTCAGAATTGCTGAAAGTGAGATTCCCCCAGTGTTGGTTGGTTGGACATTATTGGGACGAACATAGGATTTTATGTCAGAAATTTATAAAATTTTAGGGTTAAAATGTATAAAATTCTAAAATAACAAAAATAAATTGTCAATAAAAAACTAATCATGCCTGTATACTTGGTACTTTTCCACCACAGGATGCTCAATTCAATGTGAGAGCAATCAACAACAAAGACTTTTGGCCACAATGAAAACAAGGGTAAATCAATCTTGGAACATAATGCAAACTATCTTACAAGTAGGGGTCTTCAAATTTAATTTGTTACCATTAACTGAAACCGTTAACCGGTGTGACCGTTATATTTTACAAATTAATTAATTGAATTAATAAGGTTTAATGATTTCGGTTAACCATCGATAAATGGTTATAAGTGTCTGTTAACGGTTACAATTACGATTATAAATTTTGTTAAATGTTTAACCATCAATTAACTGTTAAAGAATAGAATTAGAAAAAAAAGAAAAAAAAGTTTCTTTCTACTTTTTTAGTTGTCACGTTTACCTTAGGGATACATTAAATCAAATATAGATGAAAAAATATTTGTTTTTAAAATATAAAATATAAATATGCACCGTAATATTTTAAACTGCAAAAAAATGAATATATCTTATAATATATATATATTTCTATAAAAATAAATAAGATTTCTACAATATATATGTTTCTATTATTGTAAATTTTATGAAATTTCAAATTTTCGTGTTGCGTTGTATGTGAAAAAAAAATTATTATAGGTTATGTTAACTTGTAATTGAAACGTTAAAAACGGTAAACTATTATCGGTTAATTATTTTTTAATGTTTAAGTTACGATTAACAAAATTTAATAACCATTATAATAGTTAACCGACCGTTTAGACTAAACGATACGATGAACCGGCCATGAATCCCCTACTTACAAGTGTAAAATTGTGCAGTTTTGGTTTCAGTTCATCAATTTACCCTTATGTCACAGTGCACGATCTTGAATTCGCATTCCTCATGGAGATAAGCCAATCCCTTTGCTGTACGCAGTTCATCAAGTTCCATCGGCTGGATATTAAAACTGCAGAATAGAATTCTTATTGATTTTCTGCATTTCACCCACAACGACCAATAAGTTTGGGCAGTCAGGAACCCGTGTACAAGACCAGATCCCCAGACTGAAATGCAAGATAATCACTCTTATGCCGTTAGAGAAATTTTTTGTCTTATTCCTTCCACAAACTCATGTCCGGTTTATTGTTGTTAAAAGACGATACAACTAAGAAAATCTGTAAGTATCAGGAGATATATTTGAGAATGTCTTAAAATAATATGAAAATATTAGATGTCAGAATATAAAAATATTAATAAAATAATTTAAATATTTGTAATATTTAATATTATATCTAAAATTATCTATAGAATAATATAGATATTTATAAGATTAATGGCTAAGATATTGATATGGGTTAACATCTAATTATCACTAAAATCTATAAATAGAGGTGAGATTTATGATTGTTATAGAGTGAAAATAAGGAAAAATATTACAAAAAGTGTGAGTCAGAGAAAAAAGACTTAGAAGTAGAGAAGAGAAAAATAGTGAGTTAAGTATGTAATACTGTGATTGTATTTTGTATTAATAAAAGTGTTCTCTTCTCTCATAATTGTAAGTTCTCAGATTAAATCTTAGTTTGTTTTAAGTTTTTAATGCATTTGTATTAGTTTTAATATATTGTTACTTAAATAATATATGGTCAATTCTATTGCATGAATGATATATGGTGTGTTGAACTCATCAAGTTTTCAATAATTATAAACCCTAAAACTATACTAAAGAGTTATTATATTGCTCTCATGAAGCACCAAGTTATTCGAATCCAACAATTCATTGTTTATCTGATAGTGTTTGCGGTCTAAGTAAACTTATCTCATCTTTTTAGGTATACAACTCCATTATTGTTAAACACAAATTATCTGGGTTTTCAACCAAGAAACCATGTGAGTTCTTGTTATGTTTTCTTTTACATTTTAATTTGTTAAAGAGAGATAATGGTATTATATTGCATACATGTTTTCTTAATGGTGGTATCAAATATTTTTATATTATATTATTTATCTTGTGATAGTTGATATCAATTTATAAGCTTTTTTGTACACGGAATGAATATAAAATAATATCAAGATTATATGAAAAATGATATGATAACTAATATAATAATATCTACGTGAAATATATCAACTTAATAACACACCTCTAACAAATATGCGGCACAAAGTTGATATCATGGTGAGGAAGCTCTCCAACAATAAATGATAATATCATAAGCCAATTGATTATCTAAAAAGATATTATTAGTATAATCGACTTTAATGTTTGATTAGTAATATAATAATAAAATGTAATTAAAAATGTAATTATTTTTAAAATAATGAATAATAAGAATATTAAGGCTTAATCTCGTAATTAGGATATTCTAATTAGTATTCATGACAATGAGATTTGTAATTTAATTCGATGAGTTGGGTTATATAGACAATAGTGTGGATATGTTGGGAAATAAACCAAGTACAAGTAATTTTCCTATAGTCAGATTAGTGAGAATACGAAATAAAAGCGGAAAAATAATACTCGAAATTGATAACGGAGTTCAGCCAATTGTGCTTACGTCTCCGGGCTGCTGCAGATCTTTTACTAAGAGAGAAAATTACAGGTGTTTACAAACACTCACTACTCACAAGAAACTCTCTAGTATTGGGAGAAAGAATGATTTTGGGATGGTTTTGAAGCAAAATGAGCTAGGGTATTTATAGTTGAAACTTAAGGACTTAATCTTGTAAATACCCTAAAGCCTAGGGATTAATTGTGATTATCCCATTATCATTTTCAACAAACATCTACCAAACTTTGAAAAACTATTTTTCAAAGAAACATTTACAAAACTTTGAAAACTATTTTCAAAGAAACATTTACCAAACTTTGAAAACCATTTTTTCAAAGTTGGTTACCAAACTTGAAAACCATTTTAATATTTTCAACAATCTCCCACTTGAAGACTGATTTTAATCTGTCTTCACACCTCGATCAATGCAACAGCTTTTCTAGTCTTGTTACTCTAGCATGCCAACTGAAGTTGAACACAACTTCAGTTTGTCTGTAGTCACCGTCTTTGTCAACATGTCTGCTGGATTTTGAGCTCCACTGATCTTTTCAAGTTTCAAATCCCATCTTCCAGAAGAGACCGGATAAAATGATATCGCAATTGTAGTGCTTTGTATTGGAATGAAAGACGGATTCTTTGCTAGATGTATAGCACTTTGACTGTCGCAATACAAGACATTGTTTTCTTTTTCTTGCCTAACTCTTCCAAGAAACTTTGGAGCAAACCATCTCCTTGCTGGCTTCCGTAATAGCGACATATTATGCTTCAGTTTGTGGAGAGCAACTATCTTCTGTAGTTGAGAACCCAACTCACTGCGGTTCCTCCTAGAGTATAGACATACCCTGTATGCTCCTTCTGATGTCAACATTTCCGGCTAAGTCAGCATCTACATAGCCTGTCAGTATCGTATCTCCACCTTTGAAACAAAGTTTTGTTTGGTACCCGCAGATATATGAGGATCCATTTGACTGCTTCCCAGTGTACCTTGCCCGGATTATTCATGTGCCTGCTAACAGCTCCCACTGCTTGAGCAATATCTGGTCTGGTACAAACCATGGCATACATCAGACTTCCAATTGCTGAGGCATACGACACCTTCACCATGTGTGCACGTTCTTCCTCCGTCTTTGGTGACTGTTCTTTGGAGTCTGAAATGAACACCTAAAGGTGTACTTACTGGTTTAGCATCTTGCATGTTGAACCTGGAGAGTACTTGTTGATGTACTCAGCCTGTGATAATATTAAAGTCCCTGACTTTGTGTCTCTCTTGATCCTCATCCCAAGAATCTGCTTTTGCAGCGCCCAGATCCTTCATAGCAACTGCTTTGACAATTTTGCTTTAAGTTTATAATCTCTTGCATGTCTGAGCCTGCAACGAGCATGTCATCAACGTACAACAATAAAATAATGAAGCTATTGTCGAACTTCTTGATGTAGCAACAATGATCTGCTTGGCATCTGGTAAAACCACTGCTACTCATGAAACTATCGAACTTCTTGTACCACTGTCTAGGAGCTTGTTTTAAACCATGCAAGCTCTTCTTCAACCTGCATACCAGGTTTTTCTTGTCTGCCTCTATGAAGCCTTCTGGCTGCCTCATATAGATTTCTTCCAAATCACCATGAAGGAAAGCTGTCTTTACATCTAACTGCTCAAGATGAAAATTCTCTGCAGCTACAATTTTCAACACCAGTCTGATTGTAGACAGTTTCACGACTGGAGAGAAAATTTCATTATAGTCAATACATTCTTTTTGCTGAAAACCTTTGACAACCAATCTCGCTTTGTAGCGTTTGCTCCCATCGTGCTCTTCTTTGATCCTGTAAATCCACTTGTTGTGAAGCGCTTTCTTGCCTGGTGGTAATTCAGCTAATTCCCACGTCTGATTTGACAAAAACGAGTCCATCTCATCTTTCATGGAAGACTCCCACTTGACTGAATCCTCCACTTGTATTGCTTCATCATAGAACTCTGGTTCACCATTGTCAGTCAGCAACAAGTAGTGCAAAGAAGGAGAATACCGTTGGGTTGGTTTAGGAATTCTGGAGGAGCGTCTTAGTTCCGGTGTGCCTGGTTCTTCTTGAACTGCTTCAGGACTGATATGAACATCATTTCCAGAAATCTCCTCAAACTCAGCAAATTCCTTTGTTTCAGCTTTGGTATTGGAGCTGCTTGATTCTACAGTTGACCTGTCTTTGTACATCACATTCTCATTGAAATGACATCTCTTCTTCTAATGATCTTCCGATTTTCATAGTCCCAAAACCGTAACCGAACTCATCACCGCCGTAACCAACAAAGGCACATTTGTTGGACTTAGCATCAAGTTTACTTCTTTCAGCAGAGTCTATGTGTACATAATACAACCAAACACTCTAAGTGTGAAAGGTTTATTTCTTTCTTGCTCCAAACTTCCTCTGGTATTCTGCCATCCAAAGGAATTGAGGACCCACGGTTGATCAGGTAAGATGCAGTGTTAATAGCTTCAGCCCATAGAAATTTGGGCAATCCGGCATGTATCCTCATGCTTCTGGCACGTTTATTCAGAGTTCTGTTCATGCGCCTGCTACGCCATTCTGCTGCGGTGTCATGGGAACTGTTGTCTCCATCTTGATCCCATTGTTTGCGTAAAAATCTTGAATCTCTATTTCTGTACTCTCCTCCATTGTCAGACCTCAACCGCTTGACTTTATACCATTCTCATTTTCCACCATGGCGTTTCCATTTTCTGAAGGTATCAAAGACTTCTGATTTTCTTCAGAAAATAAACCCACCCCTTCCTTGTAGAATCATCAATGAAGGTGACATAATAAATGAGCCTGCAAGAGATGGAACTGGAGATGGTCCCATACATCAGTATGAACTAACTCTAACTTTTCAGCCTTGGGTGTCTTACCAATCTTTGCAAAGCTGACTTTCTTTTGTTTCCAAAGATGCAATCCTCGCATAGTCCGACATCTACATTCTTTAGATCCGGCAACTTCCCCTTTGACAAAAGTGTCTTCATCCCTTTCTCGCTCATATGGCCAAGCCTTTGGTGCCATAGGTTTGATTTTCCATCAGCATCTGCTACTGCAATGATTTCTCTAAATTGGAGGTTACACAGAGAGTACCAGTCTTCTTACCACGAGCAATGACGAGTGCTCCTTTGGTAATCTTCCATTCACAACCTGAAAAGGTTGTACTGTATCCTTCTCCATCAAGCTGTCCTACAAAAATCAAATTTCTTTGAGACCAGGAATATGTCTCACTCCTGTCAGCTTCCAGGTGGTCTGGTTTGGCAGCTTTAGTCGGATGTCTCCTTTTCCGACCTCTTCAAGGTTTCATCATCATCAAGATGAACCTTCCCAAAATCACCACCGACATACTTCTCCATGATTTCTTGGCATGGCGTGGAGTGGAAAGATGCCCCTGAATCCAAAATCCATGATTCAATCGGACTGTTGACGCTTAAAATCATGGCATCACCTGTCTCCTCCTTCATGTTGGCAGATTCCTGTGCGCCGGTATTTTTCTTCGGTGCTCGACAATCTATTTTGAAGTGGCCCTTCTTGCCGCAATTATAACAGGTAAATCTTTATTTCCTGTTCTTGATTTTCCCCTCTGGATTTCGATCTGCCACGATTTGAATTTCATTCTGAAGTTCTCCCTCTAGACTCGTGTGCAAGGCTGAGGAGGTTGATGCTTCACCCGATTCTCTCCGTCGAATTTCTTCGCTCAGTACCAGATCCCGAACATCGTCGAATTTTAATTTTGTTTCGACGAACTGCTGACTGTTGTAACAGTAGCATTCCAACTGTCTGGTAAAGATAAGAGAATTAAAGCTCGAACTTCATCATCAAAATTCAATTTCCACTGAACTCAACTGGGTTGTGATTGTGTTGAGTTCATTTAGGTGTTGTGCCACCGATGCCCCTTCCGTCATCCGCAAATTAAATAATCGCCTCATGAAATGAACTTTGTTTGAGGCCGATGGCTTCTCATATATACTGGAGAGAGCCATCATAAGACCCGCCGTGGTCTTTTCCTTTGCAATGTTACAAGCAACATTGCGGGATAACGTCATCGGATAACTCCGAGGGCTTGTCTGTCGAGAAGAGCCCAGTCTTCATTCTTCATGCCCTCTGGTTGTTTTCCTGAGGCCGACCAAATTTCACTATTCACAAAATTCACTATTCACGTGAATAGTAACCCAAATAGTAACCTCACAAAAAAATGACAAAATTCACAACCCAAAAGCTCTGATTACCAGTTGTTGGGAAATAAACCAAGTACAAGTAATTTCCCTATAGTCAGATTAGTGAGAATACGAAATAAAAGCGAAAAAATAATACCCGAAATTGATAACGGAGTTCAGCCAATTGTGCTTACATCTCCGGGCTGCTGCAGATCTTTTACTAAGAGAGAAAAATTACAGGTGTTTACAAAACACTCACTACTCACAAGAAAGCTCTCTAGTATTGGGAGAAAGAAATGATTTTTGGATGGTTTTGAAGCTAAATGAGCTAGGGTATTTATAGTTGAAACTTAAGGACTTAATCTTGTAAATACCCTAAAGCCTAGGGATTAATTGTGATTATCCCATTATCATTTTTCAACAAACATCTACCAAACTTTGAAAAACTATTTTTCAAAGAAATATTTACCAAACTTTGAAAACCATTTTCAAAGAAACATTTACCAAACTTTGAAAACCATTTTTTTAAAGTTGGTTATCAAACTTGAAAACTATTTTAATATTTTCAACAAGATAATGAGGGCTCGCTAACACTAGGAACTCGTGATGATGAGTTTGACTCAGACAAAAGTGAATGAGGTCGAGGTCGAGGTCGGAAAAAATAAAATCATGGTGGACAGGTTTATTGTCATCAACAACAAACGTTAGTGAAAAAAACTAAGAGGACGACATACCAAAGATGCTAAGATTTTGAGAGGATGAATATCCGTTTTTCAATACCCAATTACTTTATAATATAACTAAACTAAATTAATAATTAAATTTTTATTCCAAATCAAATTAAGTATATTATTTTAATTATAAAGTAATAACTTATAATAAAAAAATTGATGAAAAAGGACCGGTGAGAAGAAACCTATATTAATTGAAATTCAATTTCAAATAGAATTAATGGTTATATATATATATATATATATATATATAACTCATTTAAAATTTTATTATTTTTAATATATTAATTTATATTTAAGGTTTGTTTGAAATCAAGAAGCTCTTGAATTCTAATACTTATCATATTTATATATTTATCCTTCTTTCTGTTTTTTAAATTAAAAAAATTCTTGAAGTCTAACACATAAGTTATTTTTATTATTTGTAATTATAAAAATAATAAATAATATTAAATTTTAATTTGATGTACCTATAAAAGATAAACAATTATAATATATAATCTAAATTTTGTAAAATATAATTTTATAATAATAAAATTAATTTTTTGTATTAAGCTAAAAGTGATTACAAAATAATATTTGTTATAAGCACTCTAAACCATTTGACAATGAACGTTAGTTCGCTCTTGCAGTCGCTAGTGTTCAAATATGTGTCTTCTAAGAATATAAATTATTCCTTTTACCACTAAGATAAGTTAGTACGTACAATAAAATTAACTCATTAAAGAATGTCTTTTAAAAAATTATCAAACCAAAAATATTTTATATAGAAAAATTTAAACATTAAAAATTATTATTTTTTATTTTTAAAAAATATAATTAATTTTTTTAGAATTTGTTTATTTCGTAGGGAATTTGATTTTATGAGTTAGAAATGGGAAAGAAGTTGTAAATAAAATAACACGTAATTAAAAATCAGCTCGGATCCCAAGTTTGCATTTCAATTTAGTTAAACCTAAAACGTTATCCTCATCTTTTCACGTTTCGGAGGTGGGGCAAGCGGCACCCTTCTCTTTTTATCCCGTCGCACCCTCACTCTTGTGTTAACGCGTGCGATTGCAATCACCCTATTTCTTAAAAAGTAATGGGTAAATATATATTTTGGTACTTGAATGACTTCTTAATTCAATTTGATACTTATTTATACTTTTTAATTAAGTTCAAAACATGAGTTCTATAACAAAATCATTCCAAAGCATAAACACTTCAAAATTATTAGTGGTTAAAGTTTAAATTAGTATTAACTTGGCTTCTTAATATAAATTGATACTTAAATTTAATTTATTAGTTCAGACTGATACTTTTAAAATTTTCAATCTATTTGAATTGAGAAACTAAGTTTTTGTTCTAATTTGAATCTTACCACTTACAAATTTAATGGAGTTATAATTTGGGGTAACATATGTAACGGAATCCGAATATGTACTCAGTGGAGGATTCATCATTTGTTTAGGGTAAGTATTCATTCTAGAATCAAAATTTCTTTTTATTAATTATCTGTTTTATTAATTGTGTTTACCTTAAAATTTTATTATATCATACACAATTATAATATTTATTTATTTTTAATATGTGTGTACCTTCAAATTTTTTTTGAATCCATCACTTTATGTACTACTTCGACATAGAAAAAACTTACTAAAATGAATAAAGAAGTTATGTTTAGTACCAAATTGTATATTACAAAAAGTTATACTCAACGTTAGGGTACAACTCACGCGCTATGTCACGTGAACCAAATTGACGAGCTTGGGTTGCACGAGGACGGAACAGTACTCTCTGGAATTTTTTTTGAAACCGCGAATCTAAGACACGTGTCAACAATCCATTTTTTTCAATAAGAGCCAAACTCATTAGAGAAATGAAACGACTCGAATTATCGTCAGAATACCACGTGGCATATTTCCACTGGAGATTGCTTCAAGGCACCAAATTTTCGGTGCGTGGAGCCGTAATTTTATCACTCCGTTAGATTTTGTAAAAGAAAAAAAAAGGACTGAAGTCGCAACATATTTTATGACCCTTTTCTTCTTCTTACCACACAACGCACATAAATTCAAATCAGAGTAGAGAAAAGAAGCCCTTTTTAAGGTAAAATTTTCAGAGAAGGGTAGGTATTGTTTTGGGTTTTTGTTTTCTTTTTCAGATAAGAATTTATTGCTTAAGCAGGTGAAAAGAATGGAGAGTAAGGAGGAAATTATTTCTGTTGAGCTTCCTGCACCTGCTTCTTGGAAGAAAATGGTAATTTTTTTTAAAAAAAGTTTATTTTTAACTTGTTTGAGTACTTATGTGACAATTGCTTGTTCATTTAAATTTTGAATTTTTCTTTTAGTTTTCTATAGCTTTTTTTTTAAATTTGTGTTTTTTGGGTGTGAATTCGGGAAGTTACTGCTAAGTTTGTGTTTTATTGGTGTTTTGCTTTAATTTGTTTGTTTATGGTTGTACTTGTAATTTTATCACTATGGTTAGTTTTTAAGTTTTTACCTTTGTGTTGCTTGTAATAGTTGAAATTAGGGTTTTGTTGAAGTTTTGATCTTTCAGCCATTTTTAGGGTTAAGTTAATTTCTTACACGGTAGGTAAATTTCCCCCAAATGTTTTTCCTGAGGTAATTTCTTTTTCTTGGGAGAAAGGGGGACACCTTTTTGCTTTATATAGTGCACTTCATGAGAGCATCAGTGACAATCATGCTTGTTTTCCCGACCGATATCTGCTGTATTCCCTTTCAGGCTTCTTTAGAATTAGCAGTGTGTTTTAAACCCAGAGAAAACTCTATCGAAGTAGTTACGAAACGTGGGAGAAATCTCAAAAGCGTGAAAGAAATTGAGGTTAATCTTTTGTTTTGATATTATCTCGTTGGTATAGGATGATGCGATATAGACGTTCGCTAGTAGAAACGGAGCAAAAATAAAAGAAAGGTTTTTGACTTTGGTTTCATCTCAGTTAAGGTGGGATGTAGTTTTTTGTATACTGGTTGTGTTATAGGTAAATTTCTTACACTTGTATATGATATCATCCGCCAAGTCCAAGAAACATAGGTGCACTGGATGTCAATGACACATTTTGAGTTGCATATGCGTTCAAGTTACGGTGCTTTGTCTCCATTTGATTTGACGCCTGTAGTTTATTTGTATAACATGTATTTCCGGTTTATTGTTACAGTTTTTCCCCAAGAAAGTTGGCTCGCCAAGGAAGACAGAGATCGTGTTCATTGCACCGACTGGGGAGGAGATTAGTAACAGGAGACAGTTGGAGCAGTACCTAAAATCACACCCCGGTAATCCACCAATAAAGGAGTTTGATTGGAGTACCGGTGAGACCCCTAGAAGATCAGCAAGGATCAGTGAAAAGGTCAAAGCTACTCCAACACCGGAAAAGGAAACCCCAAAGAAGCGAGTCCGAAAATCATTGAGTGCTAAGAAGGAAGAAAAGGAAACAGAGGTCAATCCTGAAAAAGCTGAAGGTGAGAAAGAAAGTGAAAAGGAAGATGCACAAGCCGCTGAAAAGGATACTTCCATCGAAACTCGGGCTAACGATGGAGGTAAAACAGAAGTAGTGGACCAGACTGAGCACACTGATGCCAAGATGGAGGAAGCTGGGCAGGAAGATGCTGGTAATGATGTCAAGGGTCCAGAAACTGCAGAGGCTGACAAAAAAGAAGATGCTGCTGGGAATGAAGAAACCCTGACTCCAATGCAGGTTTTAGAGAAACCAACAGAAGATGGGATTCAAACTGAAAAGGCAAAGGATGAAGCCCCTACAGAAAAGGTGCCGCAAACTGAGGCAGAGAAAGAGAATGGTACATGTGAGAAACAACCAGAAAACATGGGAGCTAACGGGGGAGTAGAGAAAGAGAACCCAAATGGAGCAGTCCCTATATCCGAGGGAGAAGCCAAAGAGAAACAAGAAGTTTTCGAGGTAGAGGAAAAAGGCAAGGCAGTAGATGCAGAGATGATCGAAAATGGTAAGGTTAAAGAAAGTGGGCAAGCTGATACCACACAACCTAGAGGAGCTGCTCCTGTGAGCAGCTAAATAATCCAATAACCCAGTTGTATTTGCCTATGTAACCTCTATGATTCCATGGATGACTGTAACATTAATGATGTTTCTTCTAGATTTGGTTGTCAGTGGGATAACAATCAACCTGTATCCCTGTAAGAAGTAGGTACAAACACTGCAGGTTTTGTAACATTGTGCAGAACTTAGATTGTAGACACCTGGTACCCATGATTTATGGTTTGTTGCCCAAGTCTCAGATTGAACATTACATGTTATGTCACTGATTAACTGCACTGTGATGTGCATGTTTTGATATTGTTGTTGACACGATGAGGATGTTTTTGCCGATTTTAGTATAGCTACTATGAAAATGGAGAAAGCTGGAAAGAAAGAAGGGCAGTGCCGCAGTGGCAAGAATGTGATATAGATCGTCGCTGTTACGACTTGTGTGGTGCCGTGCCACTTGTTTAACGTCCAGCGTTGTATCTTCTACCTAAAGAATGTAGGGTAACTGAAGCATGATTCTGTAATGGTACTACTTTTTTTATTCTTCTTAGAGCTGATTTCATTAGCATGACCCAAACCATCAATATTGGAGATTATTTAGAAGTTGAGATCTTGAAGATTGTGTTGTGATCTTTCATGAAGATAAAATTCTCTTGAGTATAAACTATCTGATAGAGATACAAGTAATACAAGATGATCTATTTTTAGGGGATCATAATCCTTTTATATAACTGATTTAAGAATTAATTATTGTTTGTATTTATAACTGTACTCCTCATCAAATTATAAATGCAACTTTAATAGTATTTATATTTTTATTTCCATGACACTTCTAATATTTTTGACTTCATAACATAATTTGTCACTTAATTTATGTCATATATTATGATAACAATATGCATTAAAAATGTGTACATAATTATAGATTTTAATTCAACAATCTCCCACTTGGGCAACATATGTTTCTTGATAAATGTATAACCTTATAAGCTCAAAATTTGTTATCATGCAATATGTATTCTATAATAATTACGTCCATCAACTATATCCATATATGGTCAAAGCGGTCTTTTCCATATCAATCATGACTAGATCCGTCAATGGTCACGTATACAAACATAGTCAAATGACATAGATCGATCATGGAGAGTAGCATGGAAATTACATGCAATGTGAACCATACATGTCTATTTCCAACTAATCCTCTTTAGTGAGATCAAATTTTACCAAAACCAGTGTGTGAATAAACTAAAACAAATTTTTTTCTGCACAAACTAACCTTAAAATAAATATCCTTAAACTGAAGTAACTGAAATTGTATCTATAACCAACGAACATTTAAATTACAAACTCTCACTAAAATAAAATATCTTTAAATGATATTACACTAACATGAGTAGTGTGCTCATGAAAGACTAAGGTAATAGTTCCTTAATAAGCTCATAATAATGAGTTTTTACCAATATGCTCTATAAACACATAACCACTATTTATTTTCTTTAACAATAAGGAACATAATGTCTATGTGCTTAGACTTTAAGGTGTTTATGTTGTATTGGAATAAATGATTACAACTTTATCGTCACAAAATAACTCAAGTGATATTTCTTATCAATCCATAATTAGCAGTCCATGTGAAAAAAATTTGCATCCATATTCCAATAAGTCAGAGTCCATAAAACCTGATGATCTCTTACTTACTAGACCTCCGATATGTGAGCATATAATATTTTTGCTTTTAAATGTATCGTATGAATCGACTTGACTGCTATCCAATGATCCATACCTGAATCGCTAAAATATCTGTTTAATATCCCAAAATCATATACCACGACTGAATGCGTACAAACCTGAGAATACATTAAATTCTTCATTTATTTCTAAAGTATAAGGAACCTTTTTGCTTTTCATTAGTTTCAAAATCATTTTTAGGACATTAATCAAGACTAAACTCATTTCCTTTAGCAATATGGGTCATCACTTGGTTTACTTCCACTGAACTTATAGTATATACAATAGTCAACCAAATTTATCTCAAAACCAAACGAGATAATCATTTGATGAAATTTGTTATACAATTAACGGGAGTCATACTTAAACTCATAAATGGATTTCTTTAATTTGCATATCATTAATTTTGTATCATTAGATACAATTTTTAATTGCACCGTATAAACCATCTCATCAAATGTTATCATTGAGAAACACAATTTTGAAATCCAACTTATGTAACTTAAGGCCAAATATGAGCAATAAATATCATGATTATCCAGAAAGAGTCTTTCAATGAAACCAAAAAGATTTTTTTTTATAAAATTAATACATTCTTTCTGAGAATATCCTTTAGATACAATATATGCTTTATATCTGCCAACATCACCTTTTGCATCCATATTGGTTTTAAATATCTATTTGCAACTAATTATCTTTGTACCTTCAGATAATGAGACAAATTCTCAAACTTTATTATATTGTATATAGCTTATACTCTTCTTACATAACGTTAATCCACTTTTGAGAGTCAGAACTTTTATAATAATCTAAAATAATATTTCTCTCTTCTAATGGATCGTCAAAATGACACTTGTTCTTTAAGGTTGTTGAGTTTGTTCTTCCGTAACAATTTCTAATCTTAAATGGAGAGTTGTTCAATATTATTTTATTGAGGTTCTAGATTCACTTCTTGATTAATAACATATATGAACATATGGATATCATCAAAAATGATGATAGGAATTAAGTTATAATTCAATTCCCCCTCAAAAGCAATTCCTTAAACCTTATTTCTCCCTCTAAACTCAACATCGTCAAAAATAATGTTATAAATCTCATCTTAAAAATATTTCTAATTATAAGATCATAAAACTTATAACCACCGGATCACTCAAAATAACCAAAGTAGTTGCTTCTGTTTTAGAATTTATTTTCTCCTCATATGTCCTAACTTATTTCAAAAGGAGAACAACCCTTTATAAAATGTTGTTATCTATTATAATTTGAACAAATGTTACCTCTCAAAATCCATTATACCAATTAAGGATGTTATCCCCCATGAGAGATGGAAATTGTTCTGTCCTTAGTGCAAAGTCTATGTTCATATAATCAAAACCTTATGTAAGTGTATTTTCCCATTCCTTTAGATTTGTTTTCCTAAGCATGTGTATAAAATGTATATTAATAGATATTGTGATAGCAATAAATAAATATTTAGATGAATATAAAACAAAACATAAATAAACTTTAAGCTCACATTAATATTCTTAAGTAAACAAATAAATTCAAAAATAATGACTAATTTACATCACAAGATACTCAACACTACATCAATATTAAGTCTTTGGACAATAATATTAACAGTAAACGGTACTCTTGTTGTAGTATCAAACATTGACAATAAGTTATGTCGAACAATAGACTAATCTCGGGACTAGTTTAATGCTCACAAAAAATACCTTATAATTGTCACATATTATTACCACATGTGTCTATTGAAATTTGGCCAAATATTAACTTTTCTTTGCATCAATTTATAAACGCATGAATAACAAGAAACGCATAATCATCTTGATATTTCGAATAAACCAGTGTACAAAAAAGATGTCACTTTGGCGACATTTTGTTTCAACTAATCTACCAAAATATTAGACCTAACCAAAATATGAATTAATTTGTCTCAATGTATATATTCTAATAACCAAAAATCAGATCTGAAATTTTGATCAAATCAAATTGAATATATACATATATTGCATTAACATTATAAATAAAATCATATAAATATTATCAACTAATCAATTTCTCTTGATTTTATCTTTTAAGTAAAAGATAACCAAAATAATATTAAATTTGAATAGCCTTAAACCTTATCCCATGATATCAGATGCTCCATTAATATTTCATCTATAAATAAAATATTCATCTTAAGTGATAACTAATGCGGTAACCAAACACTGATAATAAGAACATGTCAAGCAAAAATATTCCTTTGGGTCGATTTATTACTCACACATTAAACTGAATAATTATCACATGCTTATTACCAAAGTTGTACATACAATTATATCAACTATTAATCATCATTTGGGTTGATCAATACTAACATATCTTAAGTTACATGTACATAATCTTTATGTTTGAAAAATCAAATATTTTCCATAACTGAGGTAACTTTAATGACTTATTGCTTTATTTACGTGTCTCAAAGTAAATATCAATATTCAAATTTAATATTTCTATGACAATCAAATGTCAAAACTAATTTTTTTTATTGCACTACAATATCCGAAATAACACAAAATAAGGTTACATAAATGGTGCTATTCAAAAAATGAAAACTCTAGTGTTTGATTGTTTCCGAAAATTTCCTTAAACATGCATTTAATTTATAACTTCATAAACTACCTAAGACAAATCAAATTCAAAATAATCAATATTTAACAAAAACCCAAAATTAAAGTACATAATAAAGAATTAAATTATTAATCAAGCTGAATCAAATATATCAATACCGTATATATATTCTATAATTTGTAATAGTCAAAAACTAAAACTGAATTTTCTAATCACGTTATGATTTCCGAAGTAACCCATAATAAGATTGTCTAAATGACGTTATTGAAAAACTCAAAACCTAAATATTTGACTATTTCTCAAAAATTTCTTTAAACACTACAACAAAACAGGTTTTTAGAGGCGTTTTTTTGGTCATATAGCGACGTTTTTAAACACCGCTAAAACCAACACCATAAAAGATAGCGACGTTTTTAATCTATAAACGTCGCTAAAGTTTATGAGTTTTAGTTGCGTTGTTTCCATAAACGCCGCTAAAGGTTATGATATTTAGCGGCGTTGTTGAAAAACGCCGCTATATATCCTTTTTATTTTGTGACGTTTGTAAAAAACCACCGCTAAATGTTATGACATATAGTTGCATTTGTTCCCCATATAGTTGCGTTTGTTCCCAAAAACGTCGGTAAAGGTTGTGACATATAGCGACGTTTGTAAATTAAAACGCCGCTATTAACTATGTCTATAGTGGCTTTTTTATAAACTCCGTAAATGATCTAGAACTTTAGTGGCTTTTTTCTTCTTCTAAAACACCGGTATTGATTATGTATTTAGTGGTGTTTGTTATACAAACGCTAATTAACACAGATTTTGCCAAGGGTGTTTCCCGCTCTTCTGTTACCCAAATTTAAATTTTTAACATGTAGAATTATCCAATAAAAGTATAACATCCATAACAACAAACTTTAAATCCATAACAACCAACTTTAAATCCATTATAATAAAATCAAACTTAATATCAACGTAAAATATAATGCAGTTCAACATTGTTAACTAGATTGAACAAAACATATATCTAAAATAAGACCTAAGATGGTGGACTCTGAGGTTGATTTTTTCGTATCATCTGCATCCTAGCTTCAAGTCAATTTTCAAATTATTGACATTTTTGCTTATATATTGTTTCTCTCTCTGCTTCCCTCGCTTTATTTTCGGCTTTCATGTTAGCCATTTTGTGATCCATTTAAGCCAAAATGTTGCTTTAAAACTAACTTCTAATTGAGAAGACTGACTTTGTAATGACATGTACTAAGATGAACTGGATCCAAATTCCAAAATATTTGGTGGGAGTAACGAATGATCCTTGACAGCGAACCCGACCATATCTTTCAGGACCCAAAACTTTATTAATAACTTGATTTTCGATGTCATCTGCATTAACAATACCATGACTTAAAGTCATAGCTTCATACTCCGCCCTTTTATCCCTCAATTTTTACTAATAATCAATTCAATAATTATTTTAAATAAGAATTTCATACTATAGATATAAATATAAATGTCAATGAAAAATTCACCTTCAAAATATTGTACCAAGCAATTAACAAAGGAGAACTCGTAGAACAAAATTAAAAAAATGAGAATTACCTAATCTCTTTTCAACACCACCTTACAATTTAAACACATCTAATTATTGCATTCGTATGCTAACATCAAAAGATTCTTTTTCGAACAAAAACATTAATATTGAAACATTCAAAATGAAATAAAAGACAAATACCAAAAAATTGAATTTCCAAAATATTCTACTTCAAAGCAGAGCTTCAAAATAAAGGGAGTGCTCTTACGTAGGACATCTAAAATTCTGACATGTTTAAACAAGTATTGAATCATTTACTTTGCAGGATACTAATGCATAATAAACATTGTTATACTACAAGAAGTCTTTACCAAATGATAAATCCTGGAGTGCATTTTACTTTGTATTAAAGTTGCATGATTAGGTTTATCTGCTTAGAAGATAAGATAGAATGTAACCAAATTCAATGCCTATATTAAACCTGGAGAGTTGGAAGAGGAAAGGAGCAGCGGAGAGCAGAGGAAAGGAGGACCGGAGAGCAGCGAGCTCAATTAGAAGAGGAAATGAGGAGCTTGGTGGAATGGACGACAGTGGTGACTGATGGCGCAACGGTGGTGACCGACGGCGTGACTGGTGGCGACTGCTGCTCTGATTTGATGAAGATGATAAAACTAATTTAGGGATCGGACACGAGAAAAATTGAGGGGTTTTCTAAAGTTTGCGGCGTTTTCAAACCAAATGCCACTATAGAACAAATTATCGCGGTGTTTTCAAACAAAGCGCCATAAAAGTTCTAAACTATTGCATCGTTTATTACAAAAATGCCACTAAATTAAAGGACTATTGCGACGTTTGAACAAAAATGCCACTAAAATACAAGTCTATAGCGGCGCTTGTATAAAAACACCACTATAATGCAACTCTATAGCGGCGTTTGCTAAAGTCTAAGTCTTTAGCGGTGTTTTTGCACAAACGCCACTAAAAAATGCGGTGTTTTGGCATTCGATCATAAAACGCCGCTAAAAATGCACAAAGTAAACCATTGATTAGGAAAGAATACCCAAAGTAATTTCAAATGGGGGAACAAAGAGAACCCTTGATTAGGATTAAGCTTTGAAGGGGATGAAACAAGGAAACATAAATTTAAAATTAAAAAAATGGAAGATTTGATTACTTGAGAAGATGAGTGCTGCCGGCTTGAATCCTCGTCGGTGAGAAAGAGTAGATGTTATTTCAAAGAATGATTTGGGTGTTTCCAATTTACAGATTTGGAACCCGATGGGTTAACGGATTGGGCAATTGCAATGTTTATAATAAAAACGCCACTTAGGTACATGACTATTACGACGTTTATTATAAAAAAACAACTAAATTACATGGTTATTGCGGCATTTATTATACAAAAGCCACTAAAGTACATGACTATTGCGGCGTTTGAAAAAAATATCACTAAAGTAGAATTTTATAACGGCATTTTTAAACCTAACGCCACTAAAGTACGAGTTTATAGCGGCATTTGTAAACAAACGACACGAAAGTCTGAGTATTTAGTGGCGTTTGTATAAAAGTGCCGCTAAATTACTACTCTGGTGTGGCGTTTGTTGAAAAAATGCCACTATATATGAAACCTATTGTGTCGTTTGTCTAACAATGCCGCTAAAGTACTACTATGATACGACGTTTGTTGAAAAATGCCACTATAGATTAATCTTATTGCGGCATTTGTATAAAAACACCGCTAAAGTTATCATTTGTGGCGTTTGGAAGGGAAACATCGTTATATGTTAAAAGTTAGTGGTGTTTACTCTCAAAACTCCGTTGTAGAACAGTTTTGATGTAGTGAAACATGCCTTCACAGAAAATTTTGACGTAAAACTTTAAACCAAATTTTATAAAATATCAAACTAAATGCATCGTAATCTCAATAATTTAACCACATACATAGTTGCAAGTACTTTTAAAAAAAATGAAATTCTTGTTTATATTCCACACAAGTTATAATTCAGAAGATCTCAGTGTCTTATTCAAAAGCAAAATAACTAAAATAATAACCCAACCAAAAACTTTAAATTCATACAGAAAAGGATTACTCGTTTGTTATTTCCTTGTAAGTTAAGCTAACACTTTCCGTACACTAAAGTAAATATTTAACATAAAATCAAGTGTTCAAGGAAATTACCAAATTTTAAGATCAAGAATGATGAAAAGAAATCACAAATCATCAAGTAAAGGTGCAATATGAATTACCAACTTTGGAAACAAATACCATGACTGGAAACAAATTACAAAGTATAATTAATGACTCAAGTTGTAACATCCCAAAACTAGAGCAAATGACTAAATGGAAGTTTTGAAAATTTGAAGTCTAATTTTGAAAGATCTGAAAGTTCAGAGACTTAATTAGGAATATTTTGAAGAATATTTGGTAAATATATAAGGAAGTAAGGGTAAATTGGTCTTTGCAAAGAAAGATTTTTATTATCTCTTTATAAAAGAGATAACCACGTGTAAATGGGAAAGAAAATTCTGGAGAGATGGGTTCAGTTTCTTCTTCTTCCCATGTCTTCATGTATAAGGTGAGTTGGATTTAATTTGCTCGTTTCTTCAATCGTATGGTTTCTTTTGATTCTTGAGTGATAAGAAAGAGTAAGGGAAGAGTTATGGTGACCTAAAACTCCAAAATGAACAAGTTATAAGAGATTTAAAAAATGAGTTTTTGAGTGAATTATTGAAATAGAAGGAGTTAACAGAATTTGAAGTTAAATTTGACTTGTCAAAGGGTTAATTAAGAAGCTAGAGGTGATAGAATTGAATTAAGAACACATGGAAAATTTGATGAAATTCTTTGATTCAAGAATTGTGGTGAATTATGAGGGATAGTTAAGTATTATAGTGTTATAAGAAGGTTTACATATGTATAGATGAGTTTTAAGGCATAAGGAGGGGTTAATAAGTAGAATTTGAGGTTAAAGTAAGAATTTTTGGGCTCAAATGGAATTTCTGGGTTATGTGCATCGATGCATATTCAATGTGCATCGATGCACTCTCAAATAAATTAACATCGATTGCAATTGGTGCATCGATGCATAAGGAGTGCATCGATGCATCCCCTTAAAATAAAAACATCGAATGTAATTGGTGTATCAATGCATGGGTAGTGCATCGATGCACATGTTAAAGAATGCATCGATGCACTATAGAATGCATCGATGCACTTCAAGGGGAAATTGAAATAGACATTTCTTTTGGTATAAGAAATTATAGATTAGAATATATCAATTGGATACTAATATGTATCAATGTATGATTATGTAGATACCGAACTCGAACAAGTTCCGGAACGATCATCAAATTAAGATTCGATCGAAAGAAAGGAAATCATAAAAGTGAATTGGAACTTAGTGAGGCCAAGGTGAGTGCATCTTATTTGTATAAGATTATATGGAAATTGGACTTGTGATAGGTCTATTTCCTATAGTAATAGCTTATTAAGTCTTGATTATAAGTATGTTAACAATATGAAGTGTATGTATGTTTAATTATATGAATTGATATGTTTTTGTATGTGTTATGTGGTTTATGTAAAAACACTATTAAATGTTAAGGAGAGAATATAAAATAAGTTATGAATTATAGGAATATAGAAGATAAGTCAAGAGATTTATGGAAATGAAAATAGATATTTATGAAGAGTCATAGGAGAACAAATATAAGTCATATGATAATGAAATATAAGCTATGTGAAAGTGTTCTAGGTGTTTCTATGTATTATATGAAGTATATATGATCATATGTGAACAAGATATGATATGTATATTTACGTGAATACCTGAGAAATGATCTAAGCTATATGATATGATATACGTGATTATATGCACTTTCGATATATGTTATATGACATGGATCTATGTGACTACGTGAGAAAGTATATAAGCTATGTGACATGTAAATGTGAATAATATGAAAATGTTCTACGCGTAAGTGAACTATGTGTATATATGAATATGTGAAATGACAATGCCCATGTTATGTGTCTTGAGAGCTAGAGGTATAGTTGGCATGGCAAGAGTCGAGGGTCTACGCGGTTCTTCGGGACATATATGTATTCCTTGGAACATGTGTTATGTCTTTTGAGACACATACTTGATCCTTTGTATATGTATATGATTCTTAAGGAATTTTTTACGTGGTCCTTAGGGACATTTTATATGGCACTTCGGTGCAATTCTACGCGGCACTTCGGTGCAATTCTACGTGGCACTTCGATGCATTTATACGAGCTGTGGTGACAGCATTAGTGCACAACCTCTATAGACTCACATATCCATAGTTCTCACATGTGTACATGGGCTAATAAAGAAATAACAACAAACATATAGTACATGTGACTTGTATGCTTTTGTGTTATGAATTGTATCATATGATTTGAATGATGATATGTGTATTGCGTGGTAAAATGAGTCATGTTGGTTAAAATGTTAAGTACGAAAGGATATGACTACAAGATATAAATAATAATCATATTGATAGTAAAGTAAGGTTAATGATGGAAAGAATGAATGATGTGTATATGTGTACATTTGATTACATGAAATGCTATATTGTTTTGTGTGATAGCATGATATGATATGTTCACGCATGATTAAGTAGTTAGATTTACTTGCATGTGTTTAATGTCTCACTAAGTCATAGACTTAGCGTGTGAGTTCACACGTAGGTTCCGGAAAGCAAGAAGAGAAGTTTAGAGGAGCAAGACATGTCAGATTCTCTTTTCCACAATTCAGATCAGAAATATGTTTAAATTATATGTATTTTTGTCATATGAAATGTAGTTGGCATGTAAGATAAAAGATTTGTACTGGATACGCTCTGAACAATTTGTAAAACCATACGTTTTATACAATAGAAATTATTTGGATTTTATTGGAAATGTCTAACTGAATTTCATTAGATTTTGTCAAAGAAAAAGTTTTGAACGGTCAATGTGACACCTCAGACTCGTATTCGGGTCGGGTACGGGTTGGGGTATTACATTTAATGGTATCAGAGCTACGGTTTAGCCGATTATAGGCTAAAAATAAAGTCAAAAGCGTTTTAAAAAGTAAACATGCCAACACAAAGTGAATTTTTTTTTGATCTGATAGGGTAAGAAGTGTGATGTCTTGTTAATAGAGTTAAATTGTTATGTTATACTAGATGTTTGATCATGAGAATTTCCAAAGTGAAACAGAAGGCGATACACCTGAAGGTAATAGCAATTCACATGCCCTGGCCAGACAGGGAGAAGAGCAAACACCTCAGGGAATGCCTATATAAAATTAGAGAATTATTCATGATGTTGAATGAATGTATCGAAATAGTTAAAAGAGTTATGAGCACCGAGCTCAAGGGTAAGTTTGAAGAAGGTTCTGTTGTTACAGACCTTTAGATAAATGATATGAATATAATGC